GAAAAACAAGTTTATACTTCACATTCCATTGGATTTTGGAGTTGATCAAGTTGATTCCAAAAAATGGTTTTACCTTCTATCCATTTATGGGAAGTTATGGGATGATAATGTGAGTCTTTCCTAAAAATGATAATCTTATCTTTAAATAATAACATGCTGTTTTATTAACTTGTATTTAGTTGTATTATTCAGCTGTATTCAGCTGTATTTTTCTCTGATTTCCTATGTATTCAGCTATAGTCAATTGAATTGAATTGTATTATTAACATATAGTTAACTTTATTGAAACTGTTGTATTCAACTGTATTGAACAATTGAATTACCTGTATTCATCCAATGGCAGTTAAATTCAACTGTTTCAACCAGCTGTCCAGATCTGTATTCAACTGTATTACAGTGTATTCCACCAAAGTCAGTTGAATGAAATGTGTTATTAACCTATATTCAACTCTATTCTACATGTTGTATTCACCTATATTAAGGAATTGAATTAGTTGTATTCATTCAATGTCAGTTGAATTCAACTGTAGTCCATAATCTGAATACAATTGTATTCACCTATATTACAGTGTATTCCTCTATTTTCTGTATTCATTTGTATTCAACTTTTTTTTTAGCATCTGTATTGAGGTTTTCATATATATTATTTCTTAGTTCAAGCAAATAAACTCACACTATCTACCAACCTCTTTTGTTTATAGCATATGGATGTCATATTCTATTATTTGCGAAAGATGGGCAAGTACAATCAGCATAGGGACTTCACGTTTACTACTTTTGATTGTATATTCAAGACAAGAATATATGAAATATATGACAGGTATGAAGATACAGATAGTAATGCTAATGTAGCCAAACAAGAAGACGCTGTATGTGAGTATATTAGGGGCTACAGATTGCATGCTAATGTACCCTGGCATACAGTGTATAATGTCTTGATACCAGTGAACTTGAAGGAAAAACTTCATTGGGTGTTGGTTGTTGTGACTTTCAAAGATAGATGTATCAAAGTGTATGACTCATACACGTCTTCCGGTCATGATGCATACATATCTCTGAGATTGTAAAGCTAGCTAAGCTATTACCTCTGTATCTGTCAATTAGTGGCTTTTACAGAGATAGTCAAGGCACTGACTGGTATGCTTATCCCGCATACACAAACAAGGATCATAACGAACCTTTTGAAGTTATCTTCGTTCCAAATCTGCCTCAACAGAAAGCGGGCAGCATGTAAGTATCCAATCATCATTCTTATATGTTTTATACAATGTATATGGATTAATTATTTTATATTCCGTTTCAATCAATTATTGTTTAGGGATTGTGGAGTGCATGTTGCAGCCTTCGCGGAGTTTCTGAGCACTATTGGAGAGATTACACAAAAAACACCACTTGATGCCACTCTTCTCCATCAAAGATATGGTGCTCTGTTATGGGACTATGCTATGCGCAAGATAGATGCTGATGCAATAAGCGAGAGTGAAGCACATTCAAAGATTGAAAGGCAAATCTTTGAGTCGGAGGCAAAGATGCAGATAGTTTTAGAATAGCTTTAGGTTTTTTTTTTTTGAGTTTAGCTTGAACAATAATACTGATTGTAGTGGTTTTGGTCGTAGATGCTATTTACTTACATGCTGAAATTTGGTTAAGTTTGCTTGAACAAGTTTTAGTTAACGCACATGTTAGTTACAATTTCTGAAACTTTATGTATGTTGAATGATTTTTGTTAATGCCAATTTTTGAATTGTATTCAGCTGCATAAGATCAGCTTTATCTTGCAGTATTAAGCAGTTGTATTTAGTTGTATTATTCTGTTTAGCTTATTGTATTAATCTATATTATTCAGTTCAATTCAGTTGTATTAAAATGTATTTATCAGTTGTCTACAGTTGTTATGCAAGTATATTCAGCTGCATCCATTCAGATGTAACTTTGAATTGACTAGAAACAATACAAGTTATATTGATTAACTTGTATTTAGTTGTATTATTTAACTGTATTCAGCTGTATTTTTCTCTGATTTCATATGTATTTAGCTATAGTCAATTTAATTGAACTGTAGTATTAACCTATAGTCAACATTATTGAACATGTTGTATTCAAATGTATTGAACAATTGAATTACCTATATTCATCCAATGTCAGTTAAATTCAACTGTTTCAACCAGCTGTCCAGATCTGTATTCAACTGTATTACATTGTATTCCTCCAAAGTCAATTGAATTAAACTGTATTATTAACCTATATTCAACTATGTTCAACATGTTGTATTCACCTGTATTAAGGAATTGATATAGTTGTATTCAACTATACTAAGATACTCTCACAGCCACTTCATATATATTTATATATATAAAAATACTTCAACTAAATAAATTCAGAAAATATTAACGAAAGTCATTCCACAATATATTACTTCGAAAAAAGAATTCATTATAGCTGATAATGTCATAATAAGTGTTGAGAAATTGTCGAGTCACCAATACATGTCAGAATACAACTATTTATTACGTGGAGCATTCCTACAAGTTCGCTTGTTATGTCCTCCCTACCCACATATGCTACATGAATGTTGATTTTTCGGCAACAACAATTCACTTAAATTCTTGTCGCGCTTCTTCTTTGGCCTTCCAGGAGGTCTTTTCCATTTGGGTGGTAGTACAACCTCCTCTGCAACATGCTCTGGTATATTCCAATTATTTTTGTTCGGTAGCGGGTACACTGGCACATCGCATGTCATTACAATTGTACTTGGCTTGTAATAGCTAGAGCAATATTCTTCAGGCATTAAAAACTTGCTCTTCAATACAGCCCAAGCATGTGGGCATGGCAATTCATCAATTTGGAATCTCCCACAAACACATTTTCTCTCGAGCAGGCAGACTGTGTAATTCCCCCCACCATCGTTAACAGTATATAAGTATTCAGTTGAGGGTACCACCTACATTTAAAAACAGAAATATAAGTTTTGAACACATTT